AATTCTTCGTGTGTAAATTGAATTTGTGGGTGAAAAGAATTGAATTTTTGTAGTACTATAGGTATGTCAGATGGTCTAATCAGTACTAGTGTGTCGTCTACATAACGTGAGTAGAATTTGATTATGTTAGAGGATATTAGTGGTCTCACAATTTCATCCTCGAAGGTAGTCATTAGGATATCAGCTAGAGTAGGCCCCAAGGGAGACCCCATAGATATTCCGTCAATTTGTCGATAAAGTTGGTCATTAATTGAAAAAGGTGTTTTTGTACAGGAATCTAAGAGTAGTTTCTTAAGTGTTGGTTTTCTTATTGTGGTAATAATGCGTTTGTCTTTGTATATTCTGTCTAAAATTATATTGATAGTTTTGCGTAATGGAATGTTGGTAAAGAGAGAAGTTACGTCAAACGATACAAATCTGTAACCTTGTGAGAATAAGTGTGAGGGAATGTTGTGAATACGTGATACTGCATCAAAGCTATCTCTTAATTTAAATTCGTTGTGTGTGAGAGGATTGAGTAAAGACGAAAGATATTTGGCTACTGGTTGATAAGCAGTACCAGTGGTGTCGATAATCGGACGGAAAGATGGAAGGTTGTCGAAGGATTTGTGTGTTTTAGGAAGGCCATGTGCCCTGGCCGGTCTGGTAGATTGCGGTCTGATGTTTTTGTAAGTCTCATCGTTAATTTCGTTGCGATTGTGAATTATCCGTAGATAGTTTTGAAGAGAAGAAAGTTGTGTTAAGGATGGATCATTGTGGAGTTTGCTGAATTTCTTAGGGTCGGAGAACAGAACTTGTCTGATAGTCAGTTAGTTTTATAAGAACGACGCCGTTACCTTTGTCTGGTTTTAGAATAGCATATCGTCTGCGAAGGTCTTTAAGTATTTTGATATGTTTGCTATCTTGGGATAGTTTTCTGTCGTCAAAATCCAGAAAGTTGCAGGCTAGGGCTTTGATCGAGTTCTTGATTTTCTGCTGTTTGATGAAACTATCAGGAATCAGATTGTTGTGGTGTAGTTGGTCCCATATTGACTCGGTTGAGGCGATGATATCAGATTCCTTTGGTCGTGTTGCTAAGCCATGTTTCAGACCAAAACGAAGCACGCGTTCTTCTTCGGGGGTGAGAGGATCATTGGTCAGATTTGTAATAATGTTGTTGGGATTGTCCTTAAGTCCAGTGTGAAGGGAATGTTCACTTCCTTGACATCAAAATCTCTTCCTCGGGCACGTCAATTTATCGCAAGTCAACACACACTGGTCAATATGTCCATCTCTCCAGTTTCACTCCTTGGTGCAGAAAAACAGAATGGCTTAGATCACTTGTCTATCGCGCACATAAGATATGCAATAACAGCGTGTTACTCAAAACTGAACTGCAGAACATTGCCCAATTTGCGTCATGGAATGGTTACCCCCGTCGTCTGGCAAATAAACTCATAGAGTCCTTCACACCAAAGCCAAGCCCGATTGACAACACCATCATCACCATCAACACCGAAGACAGTGTCACAGACCCTCCCAAGATCTGGATTCATCTACCATTCATTGGTAAAAGAGGAAACATGTTAATTAAATCCTGCACCACTAAACTAACACGCTTGCTGAAACGACGCGCTCAATTCATCATTATTTACGACACCACCAGCACTAACACCTTCCTAAGCATGAAAGACCGGACTCCTAAAGAACTACAAAGCAATGTAGTTTACAAATTTAGTTGCCCTGGATGTAAAGCTTCCTACATCGGAAAGACAGATCGCTGTCTGATGACAAGGCTAAAAGAGCATGCCCGCAGTAAAGAATCAGAGATTTACAAACACATAAATTCATGCGAACACTTCCTGTATTATAGAACGCTATTTAATTTTCCTCATACACTATTTAATCTAGACGACTTCACTTCTGAATCAATTATTTTCAACAACTGTAGGATAATAGACAAATCCAGACATTGGTCTTTACTACTTTTTAAAGAATCTCTATATATTCATCGCCAGAGACCGGAACTTAACCACGGATGTAAAGCCTCTAAGGAACTCATAATTTTTAACTAACACATATCATATTTCATTAATTTGATCTTGTATATATAGTTTTGTATTTCGTAGTAGCGTCATTCCTGATGATGACTGCAAGCTAGTCGAAACGTCGAATCAAAATGTTAACCGTTTTCGGAGTGTCCATTGTTTTGTATTTTTTAAAATTACTCAGTGGTAACCGTAACGTATGATTAACAGCGACCCCAAAAGCAACTCCAAATTCTTCCCAACTTGGTTACCTGTATTTGTTGATACAAACAAATGTGTACCTTGCCATGCGAATGCAACATGTAACAACACAGAAATAGCTTACATCCGCACGTTTAATTCTGGTTGCTTCGCTGATGGATTTACATGCTATTGTAAAAAATAATGCACTAAATAAATATAAGGAACGTAACTACCCCAAAAGTCAGCTCATGATGAAAATAAGAATAGCGACAACAACAAATCATGCATCTTTAGATAATGCATAACTTTATGTATCTGTGCCACTTAGATATAAACGAATGTGTACCAGTTTCACCTTGTCATTCAAATGGAGCATGTAATAATACAGAAGGATCTTACATCTGTACATGTGATTCTGGATACAGTGGTGATGGATTTACATGCAATGGTACGTAAAAATTGATACACAACATCAATGTAAGAATTGGACTAGCAACATCACAAAACGTATTTCTAAATATTGTATAATTTTATATATCTGTGTTACTTAGATTTAACCGAATGAGTGCCAGTTTCAACACGTATAATAGCACTAAAGGATTTAACATTTGTATGTGTGATCCAGTTTACAGTGATGGTGGATTTGCATGCAATGATAAAAAAATAATGGGTAACGTTAATATAAAGAAAGGAACTACCACAAAAAACCTGATGTATGTTTATTTCACTTACATACGAACGAATACTTGTCACTGTATCTCTGCCATGGGAATGCAACATGTAATAAACATAGCCTGATCTTACATCTGCGCTGTAATTCTGGATTAAGTAGTGATGTATTTACAATGTTACTAAATGCTCAGCATGAATATAAATATGTGTTTTATATTTCCGTAGATATTAACGAATGTTTACCGGCTTCACCTTGCCATGTGGCTGCAACATGTAATAATACAGAAGGATCTTACAACTGTTCATGTGATTCTGGATACAGTGGTGATGGAGTTACATGCAATGGTAAGAAGTGCACATGCATGACGAAAATAGGAATAGCGACAACAACAAATCATGCATCTTTATTTAGATATAAATGAATGTCTACCAGTTTCACCTTGTCATTCAAATGGAGCATGTAGTAATACAGAAGGAACTTACAACTGTGTATGTAATTCTGGGTATAGTGGTGATGGATTTACCTGCGAATTAGGTATGCCAAAATAATTTTTATTACTGTATATATACTATATAAACTGTATAAACTAGCGTTCGTTTACACTCATAGTGTAGATTATAGACCTACCATAGAGTTGGTTTCCACACAGAGGTAAGCAAGGTATCGTGGTCTATTTGTATCTCTGAGATATGTTCATTGTTAGCATAATATGAACCTACCAGCCTACTCATATATTTACTTGCCTGTGTCACTACATTTCAGGGTATACTCGCTTTTCGATAATGCTCACAATTTCCTACATAAACATGCATCCTTTGAATATATTATGTAAATAATTAAAAATTTGCATAGCATGACCAGTTGCAATGGCTAGCTTCTCCACAGACAGTATTACTATTATCAATATACATAAAACAGCAAAAAAGTATAAGCATTGAAGGCATTCATATAAAACCGCCCATGCCAAGAAAGTGGAATTAGAATATTTAGCCCACCTTTGCGCAAGGCGTTTCGCATTCAAATTGCACTTTTCCTACCTCTTGAACAGCCATCTTAGTGGGTGTTTTCATGTTGGAAGGCAGGTGACTTTCACGTGTTGAAATAGATTACTAAGCCACACAAAAGTTCAAGTTCTGTTCAAGAAGATTATAATTGCTATTTCCTAAATGAACAACCTTTCGTTTACAGTTAATTAACTATAATCTGTCTCCAGAAAATAAAATGTGTTTTTTTGCTGCATCGTGCACCGTAACTTATTTCAATACATCAAAGCAATCCTCACATCTTGTCTAGGCAAAGCGGGATCATAAAAATAGTCCCTTATTCAGCAAATTGTGCATGCTACCTTTGATCCCTTGGGAGTGAGGCACTAATTTCTTTGCGATCATAACTTCACACCACGTGCAAATACTATATTTTTTAATTTTCCCTAAATATGTTTTACTAGTAACATACTTCATGCTTATCTAAATATAACTTTAACTAGAAAATACATGCATGCAGAAACCCTCAGCTTGCCGACAAAATCATTGTATTTTCCGAACAAGAAGTATCTAAAGTAGTTGCCATGGCAACACGATAATTTTTTAAGAATATTCTTACAAATGAAAAAACGCTTAAAAATATCACTTTTAATTACAAAATTATCAATTGCCCCGCATATATATGTTAGGTATGATATTATACGTAATATAAGCTTCAATTTAGGGTAAAATGCAACCACAAACGCTACGCAAAACGTTTTAAAGTGTTCTTTATAAAACTTAAATTCTAAACTGCCTTTATTCTTTAATTAAATGGCTTTATCGATAAACTTTGTGTTTGCAATAAAATGATTTCAAATTCCAGCATGCAAATAACTTTGTTTTCTTTTTTATTTAAAAAAAATCAGTATAATAAAAATGGGAATCAATATTAAAGATACACTGAAATGGGCCCGATATGCTGTCTTGTTTAGTTGTTTCATATACGCGAAGGCCGTCGGGTTTTAAAGCAATTATATAATTAAAACAAACAATATTTAAAACAAACTTACCTTCGTTAACGTCGGCTCCCTTCATTTAGCCGATTCTTTCGCCATTTCCTTCTTGAAATTTCCAAAATCTTGCAAAAATGCTAGCAAAAATGAAATATATTTGCAACAAATTTATCAATCATCAAATAAAGAAATGTTTGCTATTTCGCTGTCGTCATGCAGTCGTTATAATGCAAACTTTAAATTGGACAAATCACAGTGTTTGCTATTCATGACAGTCCACCATATTTTTGAGATCAATGAGGATGACCACCCACGGTTGGTGACCCACGCCCGCGATATTTGATGAACTTTAGACTTCGGTAATGCTTTTGTTTCCCCGGGTGTAAATAGCCGGGGGGAATTACTACCCTCGCACGGCGCGTCGCGCCGTCGGCTCGGGAATTAATATATTGCACTAAGGATAATGTTATTTTGTTAAGATATATGTGGTTTTCAACGGTTTACCCCCCAACCCATCGCCATTATGCGACGATTTCGGCCATATTTTGCCTTTTCTAAGTATTTTATTGTCGAGGCGTGCAGCTATCATCCACAATTTATGCTTTTATTTGAAGATGAATATCTGAACAAGTCAAAGAAAACTTTAGAAAACGTAGACACGGAACAATAGTGCTCTTCTAGCCTGCGTAGCAGGCGTTTAGTTCGGGCGGGAGAAGAGAGGGCGTCGTTAAATAAACGCCTGCCCAAATGCCTATAATTAATTTGTTCTTCACCGAAGAATCTTCGGAAAAGCTTCGCATTGGTCAATCTCGTTAACGGAAGTAATTACATAACTCAAATGTTAACAATAATTTTGCTCGCGTATCAAAAATATGTCGCCTGTTAATGCTTTCGAGG